CAGGCCATCCCTTTGAGCTGTATCAGGGCTGGTTCAGGACTCTATGGTTCCAGGTTGGTGAGTTTCTATGAAATCAGCCCTGCCTGAGAACTCCGTGCCAGCGGTGAGTGAGTGGGAACTTGCATTGCTCAGATCCATGGCTGAAGGCATGAAGCAGTGGAGGAAAGGCAAGACATCCATCCCAAGACCTCTGTTGCCAGGTAGAATTGAGCAGACCCCAAGCTCCATTGGCTGACATCACAGAACAGAACCCCTCCCCAGCCAGCTACCTATCTAGTTCTTTGACAGTTAAAGGTCAATACACTAGACTGCTGCCACTCAGCCATGGCTGGGGTCACTAACCAGTGGGGCAGGTCCTGCTTGGGAGGTGAGGGCCCTGCTGGCAAGGAGCTTATCTAGGTTGGGACAGAATAAAGACCAAAGAGAACACAGGCAGAGGATTCAGGGCAAGTGAAGACCCAAAGCCACAGCAGCAGCCAAAGCCCTCAGCTAAGAACCAGACCTGGCTTCACCATCCTGTCCTGCAAGATGGCCCCACACGTCCCTGAAGCTCACCTCCTGCAGTCTCTCTGCAAATTCTGCATCTCCTCTGAAGTCCGCTTAGGGCCCCAGTCATCCCGACCCAGGAACTGTCTCTCCAGTGCCTCCGTGTCTCTGGGGAGGTGAGAGCAGACCTCAGGGTCTGGAGGCCAGTTGTTAGTTCCCAGCCTGGGACCCAGCTCCATCAGTCATGTGTGGGCCTTCCTGCTGTTCAGCACAGGTTTGAATGGTGGTGGTGGTGGTGGTGGTGGTGGTGGTGGTGGTGGTGGTGGTGGTGGTGGGTTGTCCTTCCCTAAGATAATACCCACCCACTCACAGACACACACCCATTCAGGTAACCTTACGATTCAGCATCTTTGGGCTCAGGGGTGTTCAGGAGTGTGAACAGGAATGCGACAGTGGGTTCTGACTGCTGGTCCGACTTTTGCTCTGAAGATGGCTTTGCAGAGAAGGTGCTGGTGACTGAAGTGGCCTGAGGCTTCCAGCCCAGGAGCCTAGCCCTTCTCCCTTCCCGTTTTGCTCTTTCCGTTAATCTGCTTTACAGGATTTGGTCTCTGCCCCTCAGCTTATGGAGAGGGAGCAGTGGAAAGGACAGGGCTAATGAGTTTTCTCCCAGAGGAGGCCCTCCAGCTGGAGAAGGATCCAAGACGCCCCAGCAGCAAGAGGAGTTTGAGGATCAGGAATACAGGTCTTGGCCCAGGCTAAGGAAGAGTTTCTGTAGCCCACCTCTCTCCCTTGCCTTCTGTCTTAGGATCAGCAGTAAATGAGGGAGCCCCCAGGGCTTGCTGTCACCTCCACGCTGTGCTCCCTGGAGTTCCCTGGTTCTTCTAGCCGTGGCTCAGCAGGCTTCATTGCTGTTGTCAAGGTCTGCCTGGAGTGGGCACTCAGTTTGCCTGTGGGAGACTGAGGGAGACGAATCTGCTTGGTGACCCGCTTCCCCATCCTACTTGTTTGCCTTTTCTAACAAGCTTGGTTTTCTGGGGGTAGTAATTGGTCTAGGGAGCGGCCATTACCAGCTCTGTCCAGCAAGTCAGAACCCCTAAGCTAGTGTTGACAGACCATGGTACATACAGCCCAGATGGTAAAGCCCTCAGCAAATGAGATACAGGATGCTGTGTTGATGGTTAATATTGTCACCATGACAATCAGAATCACCTAGGAGACAAATCTCCTGGCAAGTCACTGAAGTTACTACACTGGGTTAACTGAGGGAGGAAGACCTACCCTAGATATGGATGTCACCATCCCAGGGGCTGGGGGCCTAGACAGAATGAAAAGCAGAAAGAACTGAGCACTGGCACTCATCTGGCCCTGCATCACAAACGCAAAGGGTTACAAATGTCATCTTTTTTTTTTTTTTTGATTTTTTGACTTTTTGATTTTATTTTTTCTTAACATTTATTTTATTATGTATACAGTGTTCTGTCTGCATGTTTGCCTGTATGCTAGAAGAGGGCATGAGATGTCATTATAGATGGTTGTGAGCCACCATGTGGTTGCTGGGAATTGAACTCAGGACCTCTGGAAGAGCAGCCAATGCTCTTAACCTCTGAGCCATCTCTCCAGTCCCCAGATGTCATCTTTCATTTACTTCTCAATGCCCATCTGACACTAAAAGTAGAAGTATTCTCCACTTTACAAAACTGCAGGATTCCTTTAAATACTGTCCTCCAACAACTGCCCCCACCCCGACCCCTTGGGCTTTTGTCAGGGGTTGCTTTTTTTTTTTTTTTTAAATTAAGGCAGGGTTTCTCTGTAACAGCCCTAGCTAGCTGTCCTGGAACTCAACTCTGTAGACCAGGCTGGCTTCAGACTCACAGAGATCTGCCTGACTCTGACTCTGGAGTCCTGGGATTAAAGGCTTGTGCCACTACGCTCAACATTGTTTTTGCCTTTTTGAAGGGAGTCACCTGACAAAATTCTGCTCACCTGCAGCTTTGGTAAAATAGCCAGGGGAGATACAGGACACATGAATTTCAGGTACTGAATCATTTCCATGTAAGCGGTACTGGAGATCAAACCCAAGGGCCCAAGGGTGTTAGGCAAGCACTCTATCACTAAGCTACAGAGCTACAGCCCCTGGAGGATTTCTTGGCGCATAAACACATCCCAAACATGGCAGCATTGCAGGGAATGCACTTACATTCAAAAGGTTTGTGTTTGTTCTTGTCTTTCAGAGTCTGGTGAAGCCTAGGCTGGTCTTGAACTCATCACACAGTGGAGCATGGCCTAGAGCTCCAACTCCTTCCACTCCCCAGTGCAGGGACTTCAGGTGTGCAGCTGGCCGATCCCTTGTTTTCTACCCCACCTCATTTTCTCATTCAGAAAAGTAGTTCTTTTTAATGTCCCCACTGCTGTATGCTGGAGGAACTTAGCAGTCACTGTATGTGGGGTAGACATCAGAATGAACAGCTACTTTTTTGAAGTACTTTAACCTTGAAGAATCCTTGTGGAAAACAGTGATTGTTCTCTGTGATTTGTAGAACCGTTTCGCTGAAGGGGCACTGCAGCCATCGCATGACTTCGGTCACAAGACACTTCAGGCACACCTGAGGCTTTTGTATTATTGTGTATTGTAAATGATACATAATAAAGGACTAGAGTCATGGGGCATGTGATGCTTTTAGTAAGACATGTAAATTAGATTAGGGACCTTGGGATGAGGAAATACTTTGTGTAACAATCAATACTCCTTTGTACGGTTGTTCAGGGGTTCAGTCCATCAGAGACTGGGCCTTCCTGATGCCACATAGGTCTTAAAAGTTCATCTTGGAGTGCCTTTTTTTTTTTCAACCACCCAAGCTACTCACTACACAATGCACCCCAACAGCTGTGCTTTTTTTTTTTTAATTTATTTATTTATTATGTGTATATATATGTTCTGCCTGTCAGAAGAGGGTACCAGATATCATTACAGATGGTTGTGAGCCACCATGTGGGTGCTGGGAATTGAACTCAGGACCTCGGGAAGAACAGCCAGTGCTCTTAACCTCTGAGCCATCCCTCCAGCCCCACAGCTGTGCTCTTATCCAGGAATGTTCCTAAAAGTTCCATGTCTACTCTGCCAACTTGTTCTGCCCACTTTCCCTGCTAAGCACACACACCCCCTCAGGGCTCATGGTGGTGCTGGTATGCTTACTCTGAGGGTGTTTCCTACTCAATGTAGCATGAGATATCCCATCTGTGGGGATGGAAGCAGCAGCATTTCCTCAAGTCTGAAGTTACCAGCCACCCGTCTCCTATCTTCTTTCTATACTGCCGTAATGGTGCCCATGAATGTCCTGGCTGATCTCTCAAGAGCATTAACACTACAGAGGCCAATGCCAGGTCCTTACAGTGCCATGCTCCAACTGTTTTGTGTTTTTAGTCATCTCCCTCTCCCTCCCCCCAAGACAGGGTTTCTCTGTGTAGCTTTCACTGTCCTGGAACTCCTCTGCAGAGCAGATTGGCCTTGAACTCAGAGATACACCTACCTCTACCTCCTGAGTGCTGGGATTAAAGGCATGAGCAACCAGACCTGGCTGTTTTTGTTCTTTTTAGACAGGATTTCCCTAGCTCTGGCTGTCCTGGAACTCACTATGTTAAGACCAGGCTGCACCAGGATCACATAGATACCTCCGCTTTCCTGGTGTTAAAATTAAAGGTGTGTGCTAGCACAGGTGGCCAGTGTCTTTTCAATTACAATGATAATGCAGATAAGATACACTGCAAGTATGCAACATGATGGTGTGGGCTGAGGAGACGACTTAGTGGGCTAAGTGCTTGCTAAAGCATGAGGACTTGAGTTCAGATTTCTAGCACAAACATTAAAGCCAGATGTAGTGGCATACATCTATAACCCTAGAACCAGAGAAGGGGTGTGAGATGGGCAGATCTGGGGTCCTGTTGGCCAGTCTAGCTGAGATGGTATTCTCGGTTCAGTAAGAGATCTGGAGAAAAAAAAAAGAAAGAAAAAAGAAGAAAAAAAAGAGAGAAAAAAAAAAAAGAGATCTTGAGAAAATGTAATGGCCTAGATTTCACCAGAGGATGATCTGGGACACTCACATTTGCACAACAGCCCTAGGAATCACATCTCTGGTGGTCTTCTCAGGGGTGCCCATAGCTCAGCTGCTGGGTAGCATCTAGGAGAGGCTATTATACCTGAGCCACAGGCTCCTATGCTGAATAGAGCTTTTGGAAAAGAGAAACAGGGCTGGAGTGTAGCCAATTCCATATACCTCTCTTGGGAAAGAGTGCTTAGCAGCCTTACCCACATCTACATCTTCCCTCCTGGGATGCGCGGTTTGGGCCTTCATTCCAGGAAGCCCTAGCTTGGAGGAACAGGGATCAGTGATTTGAGAGAGGCCAGGCTGGCAGCTTGTACAGAGGAACAGGCCTGGGGACACACTCGAAAGACACAGTATTCAGGGCTTCACACCAGTGGCTGTCTTCGACCAAATAAAAAGCAGTCTACAAACAGGTAGAAAACTCTTTACAAGTTTATTTGACATTAAACCTTTTCCCCTGGGCTGCACATTAGTTCCTCAAAGGCAGGTCTGTAGTGATGGCAGCAATCAGCAGGGTCCACAGGAACCAGTGTGGACAAATTCTTCAGGTGTGCTCCGCTCAAAACCATCCTGGTGTAACAGTTCTCACCCTGATGGTGCAGTTCTCATTCCTGAAGCTTCTCCTCCCATGAACTGGCAAATGTTGGAGTCCAATAGCCTTTGAAACCATATCTTCTACCGTAATTGAGAGGAGGTGGTAGACAGGAAACAATTCCACATGAGACATCCATTTTTGTTCCCAGCAGCCCTCTGTGGGGGCTCATGTGAGGGTGTAATAGCCAAGCTCACAGCAAAAGCTGCCATCAGTGCTACAGCTGTCAGGTTTATGAGAAATAACATCCAGAACGCTCTAAGTGTAGTTGCAGAAGGCCACATGCCAGAGCTGAGACTGCAGTTCACTTTGAAGAAACAGATGTGGGTGAGGAAAAGGTGATCTGAGACCACAAACCTCAAGTTGGTGGCATCTGGAGCCCACACCATGAATTATATCCACTTGCCCTGAGCATCAGTACCACATTCACCAATGCAATGTGTCAACAGCAGAACACAGACACGAACAGTTCCTACGCAACAGTCACTCGTGTTAAAAAAACAAGACCCCAAAACCAACCCTCCCTCTTTCACACCTCAGACTCCATGTCCAGACTCTTGCTCAGGGTTTGCCTGTCTCCCCAGCCTGTGAGCTCCCTATCAGACTCTGAGAACCTCTTGGTTGGTTGGTGGCTCAGGCCACAGCAGAGGAAGAGCCCACAGCTGAGCCCGTTTCTGTCAGTACGGGCTCAGAGCAGAGGTGGCTTCTCCTCCCTAACCCTGGGGACTTCGCAGAAAGCCCAGGGTTAACTAGTCACAACATGACAAGGGGCCAGCAACACATTTTCTGGGTAACAAGGCCAATGAATTGGACCCTAAAAGTACTGCTCTACTCAAAGGGCAACATGTACAAGGAGAGGGGAGAGCCTGGCCAGGTGTACCCCCACTTTATCTCATTCAATCAGAAGATCAAACTGTTCAGCAGCTTCAAACTCAGCATTCATGGCCATAGCCCACTCATCCAGCTCCGATTTCTGGTGGAAAGAAATGAGGGCACATGAGTGGGGAAAGCAGCCATGTTGGCCAGAGCATGTTACTTACCCACACCCTCAGGTGGAGTGGAGTCCTGCCCACCCCCTGTACAGTGCCCACCCCTCACTCACCAGGATCTCTGGCATCTTCTTCTTTCGCTTCTCTTTCACGACTGGAGGAGAGATTCCAGGAAGCGTCGTGTCTGGAACCCAGGGCTTTGCAGGTACTTTTGGGATCTCAGTTAACTTTGAACACACTACAGGTGAGACTCCAGGCAAGTCTTCAGGTCCCTCAAAGCCAAAGAAGGATCGGCGGCCAGGGGTGGAGGTTGAGGCCGAACTGAGGCCCTCCAGACGACTGTATGATCGCCTGACTTTCTGGGACATTTCCAAGGCTCTGGTGTCCAGCTCCTCTCCTTCCACAGAGTTAGAATCAGCATTCTGAGTATACAGCACTGGGGTGCTGGTGGGGGTACCAGGAACACTACAAGTCTTGAAGAGGTCCTCCTTAGTGGGTACCTTGAGAGGAGGGCTATTTTCTTTTTCCAAGATAAAAGAGACCTGTATCAGGACAGGAGAGGGAACCCGTGTCAGCTAGGGATTCAGGATAGAAAGACTGCCCACAAGATACAGGATTTCTGCCGGGCGGTGGTGGCGCACGCCTTTAATCCCAGCACTCGGGAGGCAGAGCCAGGCGGATCTCTGTGAGTTCGAGGCCAGCCTGGACTACCAAGTGAGTTCCAGGAAAGGCGCAAAGCTACACAGAGAAACCCTGTCTCGAAAAAACCGAAAAAAAAAAAAAAAAAAAAAAAGATACAGGATTTCTACTGTTTCTTGTGTATTTTACGCTGTTGGGGATGGAACACAGGGCCTTGTGCATGCTAGGCAAACGCTGTGCTGAGGAGCTCCAACTTCAGTCCAGGACAGATTTTTTTTTTTTTTTTTTTTGGTTTTTCGAGACAGGGTTTCTCTGTGTAGCTTTGCGCCTTTCCTGGAACTCGCTTTGGAGACCAGGCTGGCCTTGAACTCACAGAGATCCGCCTGGCTCTGCCTCCCGAGTGCTGGGATTAAAGGCATGCGCCACCACTGCCCGGCTCCAGGACAGATTTTAAGTAAAGAACAGTCATAGAGCACATGCCCGGAATGTACAAGCCCTGGGTTCTACCCCCACTGTTCAGAAAAAAGAAACAGTCATCATTACTCCTCAGAAGTTGCACTTATAGCCCCCATCTGCTAGCTGACATAAAGTCCCAGCACACCTAAACTGGCTTGACGCCTCCTAACTGTTCCTTTGGCTAATGAGTATCCATTGGTGACCTGTCCTACACCAGGGAGTGTCTTGGGCACTGGGACTATATTAAGGAAAACAAAAGCAGCATTGACACCTCAGCGCTTCCCCTGTAGCCCTGAAAACACAATGAGGAAAACTGGGGGGTGGGGTGGGGTGGGGGGGGTTAAAAAGCAGAACGAGTCGGCAGTGATTAGTGGTGCACACCTTTAATCACTGCACTTGGGAGGCAGGGGCAAGTGGATCTCTGAGTAGAGTACACTGCAATACCATCTCTGTATACACAGACCACCATAAAGGCTTTGACCCAAGGCCAACGGAACCACAGCAAAGCTGTCAACAGCAAAGCTTAACCTGACATGTACTTGAGGTTCATGTGTTGGTTACTGTACTCCCACTTTCAGTTTAAAGGGTTCCTCCTCAGGGAGGCTGTCCTTTACCTGGGATTCGGATCATTTACAGCTTATTCTATCACAGTACCTTATTACTTCTAGTACAGCAATACAGCTATCTGAAGTTGGCCTGTTACTCCTTAACTCAGTCATGCCAGCCAGATGGGGGACTTCTTGAGAATTGGGTCACCAGCTGTCCAGCTAACTCTGCCAATGCCCAGTGTACAGCGGATTCCTGCACACTGCAGGCTCACTGTATTAATGGGCATGAAACCTGGCACCTAGTTTTCTAGAGGCCGAGACCCAGTAAAAGGACAAATCCAGCAACAGTTATGCTCTAATACGTGGGAGGAAAGTCATCAAGAGACATTTTAGCTGGGTATGGTTGCACACGTCTTTAATCTAGGCAGAGGCAGGCGGATCTCAGTGAATTGAGGCCAGTCTGGTCTACAGAATGAGTTCCAGGACCACACAGAGAAACTATCTCAAAAACAAAGAAGTATGGCCACCCCTGACTACTACATCCCCATTCTCTGCAGCCACACAGCCACTAAGATCGTTTTTTTAATTTTTTTAAAGATTTATTTATTTATTTATTATACAGTGTTGTGCTTGCATGTGTCCCTGCAGGCAGAAAGAGGACACCAGATCTCATTACAGATGGTTATGAGCCACCACGTGGTTGCTGGGAATTGAACTCAGGACCTCTGAAAGAGCAGCCAGTGCTCTTAACCTCTGAGCCATGTCTCCAGCCCCAGATTATATTTCTTGAAAAAGGGTCTCTCTATGTAGACCAGGCCTTGAATTCAGAAGTCCACTCTCAAGGTAGTTACATTTAGAGGGGAAAGATATCAAACATATAAGCAAGCACCCTCCCAGATGTTGATAAAGATAATTCCAAGAACTATGTCAGTGAATTGGAGTAGTTAGGAAGAGCTCAGGGAGGAGGAGTGATGGGACATTTGTCCAGCCATTATCTTAGTTGGGTTCTCACCATCTTAAGGTCCTCCCCCTTGGTCCTAGGACACCAGTGAAATCACTCACATACCCCCAGAGAAGTCTTTCTATAGCATTCCAGCTTTACTCTGTCAGCACCTCAGTGAAAAGGGGGCTGGGGTTATCTTGGCAGCAGGGCACCTGCTTAGCATGTGCAATATCCTGGAATTGACCTCCAGCACCACACAGCAGGATAATAAATCAAATTGGGGACTATGGCTCATGTCTGTAATCCCAGCACTTTGAGGTTTAGGAAGGAAGATAGCCTTGAGTTCAAGGCCAGTCTGTCTTACACAAAGAGTACTAAGCCAGCCAGACCAACACAGTAACAAAACCTTGTTCAAAGAACATTGGGTATAGTGGTGTACACTTGGGAGGTTGAGGCAAGAGGATCAGGCATTCAAAACTAGGTTTAACCACACACTAAGTTAAAGGCTAGGTTTGACTATATGAGACACTATCTGAAAAACAAGGTGTTCATGGCAAACAGCCAAAGTCCTTAAAAAAAGTTCTGTTAAAACTGTAAAGGCACATACATATAACTCATCTTTTTTTTTTTTTTTGGTTTTTCGAGACAGGGTTTCTTTGTGTAGCTTTGGAGCCTGTCCTGGATCTCACTCTGTAGCCCAGGCTGGCCTCAAACTCACAGAGATCCGCCTGGCTCTGCCTCCCGAGTGCTGGGATTAAAGGCGTGCCCCACCACCGCCCGGCTAACTCATCTTTTATAATTTGTGTGCATGTGTTCATGGAGGCCAGAAGAGGACACTGGATACTCTAGAACCGAAGCTAAAGATGGTTGAGATCCACCGGATTCCAGCGCTGAGAACCACTCTTTTTATCTTTCTTTTTAACATTTATTATGTATACAGTGTTCTGCCTGCATGAATCCCTGCAGGCCAGAAGAGGGCACCAGATCTCATTACAGATGGTTGTGAGCCACCATGTGGGTGCTGGGAATTGAACTCAGGACCTCTGGGAAAACAGCCAGTCTCTTAACCTCTGAGCCATATTCATCTTACCAGCCCTGAGACTTACTCTTAACTGCTGAACCTTTTTTTTTTTTAAAGATTTATTTATTTATTATGTATACAGCATGTATGACTGCAGGCCAGAAGAGGGCATGTGGTTGCTGGGAATTGAACTCAGGTTCTCTGGAAGAGCAGTCAGTGCCCTTAACCTCTGAGCCATCTCTCCAGCCCTTTGAGCCTTTTTTTTTTTTTTTGAGACAGGGTTTCTCTGTGTAGCTTTGTGCCTTTCCTGGAACTCGCTTTGGAGACCAGGCTGGCCTCGAACTCACAGAGATCCGCCTGCCTCTGCCTCCTGAGTGCTGGGATTAAAGGCGTGCGCCACCACCGCCCGGCCGCCTTTTTTTTTTTAAAAGATTTTTTTTGAGACAGGGTTTCTCTTTAACAGCTCTGGCTGTCCTGGAACTCACTCTGTAGACCAGGCTGGCCTTGAACTCAGAGAGATCCACCTTCCTCTGCCTCCAGAATGCTGAGATTAAAGGTGAGCGCCACCATGGCCTGGCAACCAGAGCCATCTTTGTAGACACTAAATATAACTCATTCTACAACTATGAAGAAACACTGAAAGCAAAACAGACCTTTTGCAAGATAGGATTTTTCTGTGGAGTCCTAGCTGTCCTGGAACTTGATCAGGCTGGCCTAGAACACAGATCTGCTTGCCTCTGTCTCCTGAAAGCTGGGCTTAAAGGTGTGTGACACCAACACAAAACAGTTTTATGCGCTCCTGAGTGCTAGGGTTAAAGGTGTTTGTCACCACCGCCCAGGTATAAATTAGTTTTTAAGCAAAACAGTAAAAATGCTCAGAGCATAAAGAACTAAAAAAAATAAGCAGGGCACCTTTAGTCCCAGCCCTCAGGAGGTAGAGTCAGGCGGATCTCTGTGAGGCTGACGCCAGCTTGGTCCACAGAAGGAGTTTCAGGACAGCCAGGGCTACACAGAGAAACTCTGTCTTGAAAAAACAAAACCAAAACAAACAAAAAAATAAAAATAAAAAAAGAACTAAAAATGAATGACATCTACAGGCAGGAACCAAGAATGGCAATTCATAGCCAGTCTTGGTAGCATGGATACATTTAATCCTTGATCCCATCACTGGAGAAACAGAGGCAGTTGGATTTCTGTGAGTTTGAGGCTGACTGGTCTACAGCAATTTCCAGTTCAGGACAACAGGTTACACAGTGAGACCTAGAAGGTGTCAATTGCTCTCAGCTGCCTTTATTTCAAAGGCGAACTGGATCCCACACAAATAAGCCAATGGAAATCAACTCACCCTAGGACTCCTTCGAAGTGTGTGGACAGCTGGGGCCTGTAGAGATAACATCACAACCCATCAATCAACAGTTAAGCTCAGTTTTGACATCTCGCTCCCAAATCCCTCTCTCAGCCCCTCACCTTCACTGTATGAGCCACGATTTTCTTCAAAACGATGGCCTTTCTGGCTGGAGCCGCATGAGGTGTCTGAAAAGGGGGAGAGGGATTACCATGAGCTTCACATTAGTTCAAAGCCCTCTAGGTCAGTATCTGAGGAACTCGGATCTCACCTTTGGCCAATTTTCAGGAAAGATGTTTGGGAGATCTGAGCCAGATTTCCGCTGGGACCTCTTCGAAGACTTAGTAAGCGGAGTCCTGGACCCTGGAAAGGGAAACATGGTTAAGGATAAGTAAAACTTTGTTCGAGGAAAAATAAGACAGCAACCAAACAAGATGCTTGGCGAGTTCGGGAAAGCAGAGGCCGTTTTCCAACTTGCCCTTTGGGGCGTCTTCCACCAGGATCTAAGTTTCGTTCTCCAAACGACGCGGCTTTACCGCTCTCCCGCGTCCTCCACTCACCGGACCGCTGGGCGGCCCCTCCGGACCGCGTTCGCCGCTCCGACATGTCTATGGTCGGGCTCAGTCTCCGCCGCGGTCCTCAAGTTCAGCTCGCGCCAAGCGGGAAGTTTGTGCCTGCAAACGTTCAAATTACCCGCCAGGCGAGGGCGGAAGCGGAAGTGATGCAGAGAACGTTCAAATTACCCGCCAGGCGAGGGCGGAAGCGGAAGTGATGCAGAGAAGGCCGACCCTTACGTCTTGCGTAAAGCAGAGGCGTGGCCTGGTGGCGCTGTGGCGTCATCAACGTGCGCCGCACCCGGAAGAGACGTGGCAGCGGAGGGATAATCAGAGCGGCCGGAGCCGAAGGGAGCAGAGCGTCAGCTACTGGAGTGGGTCAACGCAGTCTCCGGCCTTCCGCGCTTTCCAACACAGTACGCACCCGTCGCGACCGGTATCGCGGAGGTTCTCTGAGACCCAGAATGGGGTCTGCCGGATGGGGGCGGGGTCAGGAGGGGGTGGGGTTTGGGGGGCGGGGCTGGTGGTATTGGAGTTCTTGATGGAGAGGTCTGGTTAGGGGCTGGGTCTCAATGGAATGAGGGGGTCGCCTGTGGTGCGGTCTGTGCAGGGGGCGTGGCCTTACCCGTGCTGAAGCAGTAGGCTAGAATTTGGCGTTTGGACTGATGTGAAAAGGGTCTGGGGGATTTAAAAAAAGAAACGAACTGGGTCTGTGAGAACAAAGTGGCAGTCACCAGAACCTGGTTTCCTGCTAACTCAGATCCTCTCTCTAGGATCGGTCATGGGACTTTGCAAGTGCCCCAAGAGGAAAGTGACAAACCTGTTTTGCTTCGAACACCGAGTTAACGTCTGCGAGCACTGCCTGGTAGCCAATCACGCCAAGGTGGGGCGTTCAGAACAGTGGTTGAGCAGGGCACTGGGTGGGCAGGCAAGATTGACTCCTTCCAAATCTGTGAGGGGCCCCACACTAGATTGTAAGCTCCACAAGGGCAGGGACTTGGTTTATGATGCTCTGCTAGGCTTTCAGTAGGTGCTCAGTAAATATTCATTGACGAAATGGTGAGTCTGATGAGAACGAGGCAGCTGGGCCTTGGCGTGGTGTGTTCACTGTGGAGCCGGACACCAGCTGTGACCTCTCTCTCCCTCTCCAGTGCATCGTGCAGTCCTACTTGCAGTGGCTACAAGATAGTGACTACAACCCCAACTGCCGCCTGTGCAACACACCCCTGGCCAGTCGAGAGACGACCCGTCTTGTATGCTACGGTGAGGCCTGGGCAATAGAAGGGGTCAGGGCAGCCTGGAGACTGGTTTGCTTTAGCACCCTTCTAGCAGCAAGACAATGAACCCCTCAGGCCTGGAGGCCAGAGCCTCAGATCCTGATTCTCTTAGGTACTTCCCTGCTTTGTAAGCCTGGGCAAGCCTTCTCCCTTCCTAAGCCTTAGTGTCTTTCCTTCCTGCTCTGCCAGTCTTGGAGAGCTGGAGATGACTATGACCAGTGGCTGTGAGCAGGATCCATTTTTCTAGAATGTTACTGACTCCAAGACTGAACAGAGAGGAAGCCTCCCATGTTACAGTTAGCTAGAGGGAGTCAGTAGTCACAGCCTGGTGTAAAAGCTTCAGCTTAAGTTTTTCAAGGTACCGGTCCAAAAGGGGAAGCTTTACATGTGTTTCTCCATGAAATTGTGTGTACTCATACAAATGCACACTTTGATTAATACTCATGGGAGAGTGAATGGATAATGAATGTATATGAACACTTGTCCCATGGAATGCAGATGACATGAGGGTGATGGTTTTTGAGTATTAGCTGACATGAATGTACAGATGTGTATATCTTACGTGTGTGACTAGTGTAGGTTGAGGGAATGGCTGTTGGCTTGCTTGTATATTTATAAGCATATGCATATTTGTGCTTCTGGATATATGCATGTATCTGTGTGTATGTCTGAGAAGCTTTCTTGAAAGTATTCTTGTAAAGAATATGTAGTGGTTTTTTGAGACTGTGATCTCATGGGGCTGACCTTGAACTCTTGATCCTCCTGCCTCCACCTCCCAAGTGCTACGTTTACAAGCAGCTGCCATCACACCCAGTCTGAAACTATTGTTGTTTAGCCATTAGCCCAAGGAGTGTGATGAGTTCAGGCCCAGAGAAGATTCTCGAAAGGGTAGGTGGCATTTTCTTCCCAGCCACACCTCCTTATGGGCTGGCCAAATAGAATCTACTGTGATTTAGTACAATGGTGTTAACAAGAAGGCCGAATGAAGCCTTGGGGACCTGGGGTGAGGAGGAAAGGGAATGGCCTGGGTATCCGCATATATGTCCATTCATTCCTGCAATGAGCTGGCGGGGTGCGGGGCTGGGGGGAGGCATTGCTGGGCCTAGGCTAAGAGCCCAAAGAGTTGTCCTTCTTATGTCTTTCTTATTTCATGGGTCTTAAGATCTCTTCCACTGGGCTTGCATCAATGAACGTGCTGCCCAGCTACCACGAAACACGGCACCTGCAGGCTACCAGTGCCCCAGCTGTAATGGCCCCATCTTCCCCTCAGCCAACCTAGCTGGCCCCGTGGCTTCAGCACTGAGAGAGAAGCTAGCCACGGTCAACTGGGCCCGGGCAGGACTGGGCCTCCCTCTGGTGAGAGTCCCCCTGTGTGTCTGCCCATCTGTTTGCCCTGACCCTCACTTGAGCCAGATTGGATGGGTTGGCAGCAGGAGTGGACAGGCTACTAACTTAGATTCCTTTCTCGAGATCGATGAGGTGATAAGCCCAGAGCCTGAGCCTTTCAATTCCTCAGACTTCTCTGACTGGTCCAGCTTCAATGGTAAGTGGTGGCCTCCATCTGCTGCCTGGGCCTTGCGTCCCTGCTCCACTGACAGTTCTCTCTCTGTTCACAGCCACCAGCCCCCCTGTGCAAGAGGAGATAGACAACACCTCTGTTGCTCCAGCTTTCTACAGCCAGGCTCCCCGCCCTCCTCCTTCCCCAAACCATCCTGAGCAGCACACAGTTATACACATGGGCAATACTGAGGCCCTGACACACGGTGAGCTGGGGAATTTTTTTCCCAATCAGAGAATAGAAAAGAAACAGTTTGTCTGAGCCTGTTCATGCTGGTGTTTCTATCCCTATAGCCCCAAGGAAGGTATATGACACACGGGATGATGACCGAACAGCAGGACTCCATGGAGATTGTGATGACGACAAATACCGTCGCCGGCCTGCTCTGGGCTGGCTAGCCCAACTGCTCAGGTACATGGAGACACACAGGATGGGGTATTGGAAAGAACAGGCCCCATGGTGGACACTTTGATGACAGTGGGGCTTGGTCTGGGTACTAACAGCATCCAGTGCCAGGGCCGCAGTGAGGCCCTGGCTCGGAGGCAGGCTTAGCATGTGTCCCCTTTGCTCTTACAGGAGTTTTGGACTGGGCTCTGAGGCCCTGTCCTACTGTGATGCCTCCTGATTTGTATTAGTCTCTCTCATGTTTAACATGTTGTTCAAGCTTCCAGACAGTTTGTGTCCCACTGGTTCAAGCTTCGTAATAACCCCATGTGATGGCCAGTGCAGGGAACAGGGTGATCATTCCCAGTGCACAGATGGAAATTAAGGCCCAAAGATAGTGACTAAGGCTTCTGTCTGTGCCAGGGAAGGGCCCCAGGGCCTGACCTGACTTTTCCTTCATTCTTCTCAGGAGCAGGGCTGGGTCCCGGAAGCGGCCACTCACTCTGCTCCAGCGGGCAGGGCTCCTGCTCCTCCTAGGGCTGCTGGGCTTCCTGGCACTCCTTGCCCTCATGTCTCGCCTCGGCCGGGCGGCAGCTGACAGTGACCCCAATCTGGACCCACTCATGAACCCTCACATCCGTGTAGGTCCTTCCTGAGCCCATGTTTGTGTCTGGGCCAACTGAGGACCTAAAGTCCTGGGGAGAGAAGGTCGGGAGGCCTGAGGGCTTTTCTCCACTCCTCTTCCTCAGTCCTGAGACACTAAGATCCCCTGGACCAAGTCAGTTTGAGGCGGAGGCTACAGGCCAGGTCTGTAGCCCTGTTAGTCAAATTGGTTTTCACTTGCTTGTCCCTGGGTCTCCAGCCTCCTACTTAACCCTCAAAGGAGCAGACAGGTGCAAATAAACAACAGACTTTATTAAAACACCTGAAGCAGCTTTTCCATCTTCCTTCTCAGCCCTGTCCCCTGTCCCCAGGCCTTAGTGTCTCTCCTCTCGGTAATTGATGGCCAGAAACTCCAGGGACATGCGGTTGAAGAACATGGCTCCATTGAGCACTGGGTGGAGGAGAGAGCCCATCAGCTCCACATTTTTGTCCCCTCCTTGACACTTCTCAGGGTTTCAGAACTCCCCTCCTTGGAGCACACCCCACTCACTCAGGATGGTCAAAGCAAAACATCGAAGAAACTTGTCATCGGTCATCTCTGCGTAGAGTGACCCCATGGCAGCCCAGCAGATACTGATCACCTGGGAGAACTGGGAGACGGGTCCAGTGGGAGAGTGACCCCTGACACACAAGACATTTTCATCAGCCCCTCAGCTTTCCCCAGCCAGCCCTGAGCCCCCACCCCAGACCTACTATCAGGACAACTGTGTATTGGAAGCTCATTCGCTCATAGTTGTGGGTGACACAGAAGTTGTGAACGTCACTAGCAAAGACACCCATGTGTAGGAAGAAGAGCATGAGTGCAGCTACAGTGAGCATCATGCCTGGAGGGAAGAATACCACGGCTATTCGGTCCCGCCACCGCATCCCGCTCACAGCCTGGACTCAAGTCAGGCCCAGGAACTGGAGCAAGTGGTCACTGTCCAGGGGCAGCAAAATCCTTCCATTCTAGGGTATTCCAAAGTGAGGAAGGCATTGGAGAGGGCAGGGTTCTAGAACATAGCCTGATTCCAACAAATAGAAGGATGTGTCTGAGTACGAGACTGTTCCATTGTGGAGTGGTAGGCCAAATGAGCTGAATGGCAGGAGCCTGTGCTATAAGGAAGAGACACCATTCCATCCTCCATACTTCCTGGGCAGCTCAATATTCCCACAGGACACATTGTAGAGGGACTAGGCAAGGGCTCAGAAAGGTGGATGAGCATGTCCCAGCTCTACAGCAAGGTTTTTTTGGTTTTTGTTTATCTTTTCATCACAGGATTTCTTTGTATAGCCTTGGCTGTCCTGGATTTTGCTCTGTAGACCAGGCTGGCCTCAGAGATCCATTTGCCTCTCCGTCCTAAGTACTGTGTTTAAAGGCGTGAGCCACTCCGCCAAGTTAGTCCACAGCAGGTTTGAGGCAGGTGAGTAGAGCCTAGATGAGCAGCTGAAGGCTTTCCCAAGGGAAGAGGGAAGGCTTGGGCCTCATCCCAGGCTCTCTAAACCGCAACACTGGAGTTCTTGTCCCTTGTCACTACAGACTTCAATGAGCAGAGATGGGAAATCAATCTAAACTGCCCTTTCTTCAGAGAATATGCTGGATGACTACAGACTGATCCCCTACAAATCTGCCTTCCCCCTCCCAGTTCTGGCTACCAGATTTCATAGGGAACCAGAAACAGAGCAAAATGTAGTTAACCCTCTGATTGGGTGGTCAGCCTTGTGTGTTCCAGTGTTGGCACTGCTCCTGGTGTCCCCTGTCCCCTGTGCTTCCCTCCTTGTCTCTGTACAGTGCTGGTGTACATACTCCCAAGGCCTGTGGCCTTTTACAGCATGAAGTACAAGTAAGCCTCTAAAGATTTTATTACATGTAGTTAATACTAATTAACAAAATTGGTTTTGTTTGTTTGAGACAAGGTCTCACTAGGCAGCCCTGGTTTACCCTGGAACCCACTGTATAGACCAGGCTGGCCGATTGGATCAAAGGTGTGTGCCACTATTGCCTAGCCTCATTTATTTTAGTGTGTGTGGTAGGTAGAGTGAGAGTGTTCACATGCCACAGTGCATCTGTGAAGATCAGAGGACGCCAGGCGGTGGTGGCGCACGCCTTTAATCCCAGCACTCAGGAGGCAGAGCCAGGTGGATCTCTGTGTGTTTGAGGCCAGCCTGGGCTACAGAGTGAGATCCAGGACAGGCACCAAAACTACATGGAGAAACCCTGTCTCAAAAAACCTGAAGAAGAAGAAGAAGAAGAAGAAGAAGAAGAAGAAGAAGAAGATCAGAGGACTTGATCTTGACTGCTGAGCCATCTCTCCAGCCCCTTTTGTTGTTTATTCTGTTTTTGAGACAGTTTTCCTGTTGGCCTCAAACTTACTATAAGGATGATCTTGACCCCCTCCTAATCCTTTGCTCATGAATTCTGGGACTCTAGGTAGTTAACACACCACCATGCCTGATTTTCTTCATTTAAATTTTTTATCTTAATTTTTTCTGTATTTATGAGCATTTTGCCTGCATATACATGTGTTCCTGGCTCCCTGTGGAAGCCAAAAGAAGTCATTGCATCCCCCAAGACTGGAGTCTGGAGTTACAGACAGTTGTGAGCCTAGGAACATGAGTCATCAGGAAGAGCAGTGAGTGCTTTTAGTTGCTAAGCCATCTCTCCAGCTCAAATTCATTTTCTTAAATTCTAGTTTCATAGGCTGAAATTTTCATATGTACAGTTTCTAAATAGCCCAGTGAATAAGAAGTCAAGAACTTTTGGTCCAAGACCAAATGAATAAATAAATGCTTTAGGTTTTATGAGTCATTTAGTCTGTGATAAAAGCAGCTATAAATGATAAGTCAAAATATGGGCTCTGAAGCCGGGCGGTGGTGGCGCACGCCTTTAATCCCAGCACTCAGGAGGCAGAGCCAGGCGGATCTCTGTGAGTTCGAGGCCAGCCTGGTCTCCAAAGCGAGTTCCAGGAAAGGCACAAAGCTACACAGAGAAACCCTGTCTCGAAAAACCAAAAAAAAAAAAAAAAAAAAAAAAAAATACGGGCATGGCAGCACAAGCCTTTAGTACCAGATCTCTGTGAGTTCCAGTCCAGCCTGGTTCAACATAGTGAGTTCCAGGTCAGCCAAGGTTACAAAGGGAGACCCTGTCTCCAAAAAAAAAAAAAAAAAAAAAAAAAAAGTAAAGAAAGAAAAGGAAAACGGTGAAGAGTATGTATTGCTCTTGTAGTTTGGTCCCCCAAGCATTCATGCTGGGCAGCTCACACAAGCTGTGACTACAACTCCAAGGTATCCAAGCCCTCTTTTGACCTCCTCAAGCACCTGCATACATATATTTAAAGACTATAAATATTGAAGCTGGGACAGATGACACGTAAAATTTAATACCATTTAGAATTTTTGTTTGTTTTTTTTTTGAGGCAGGGTTTCTCTGTGTAGCTCTGGCTGCGTGGGACTCGATCTTACGTAGACCAGGCTGGCCTCAAACTCAGAAATCCACCTGCCCTTGCCTCCCTCGTGCTGGAATTAAGGGCGTGTGCCACCACCAATGGCTTTTTGTTTGTTTGTTTGTTTTGTTTTTTCAAGACAGGGTTTCTCTGTGTAGTTTTGGTGCCTGTCCTGGATCTCGCACTGCAGATCAGGTTGGCCTCGAACTCAGAGAGATCCTCCTGGCTCTGCCTTGAGTGCGCCACCGCCACCCGGTATGTTCCGTAATTTTAATGCCCATTCATTCAGTCAATCTAGGCACATAATACATGAGTCTTTCTTGTGGAGATGCAGGATTGGGACGCCACGACTCGCCCACCTTATAGCATTTTACACAGTCACAGGAACCAGCTTGCCGAAGCTTCGCGAGGCGGAACTTTAGTCTCACATGTCCTATAGCTGCAGAGGAACGTTTCACCTAAAGGACCGTCTGGTTTCAACAACTTGATGGCTCCCGGAAGTGCTTCCTTTCCCCTCCCCAGCCTCACCCCGTTGTGCTGCGGTTGGAGCTATGGCGGCAGCGGCAGCTGTGGGGCCCGGGCCCGGGGACTCCCCAGAAGGACCCGAGGCGGACGCTCCGGAGCGTCGGCGGAAGGCTCACGGGATGCTGAAGCTTTACTACGGCCTCTCGGAAGGGGAGGCGGCGGGACACTCCGCGGGGCCTGACCCTCTAGACCCGACAGATCTCAATGGGGCGCACTTCGACCCGGAAGTTTATCTGGACAAGGTGTGTGCGAAGTGGGGCGGGTCCAGACCCCCAATATGCTGGACCCTAAATCATGCCCCGGATTTTGTTGATGTAGTGAGGGGAGCGAGAGTTCGTGAGTGGAGGATAGCCCATACCGGGCAATAGGGGCAGATCTGGAGGCTAAGCAAGCCTGGGCCATTTAGGACTGACCTGAGGGGATACGGGGTCCGTGATCCCGATGTTGACGTTCTGATAGGCCCTTGGGGAGTGGGCGTGGCCATGTTCTGACAGGCACAAGGCTGAGCTTGGGTTGAGTTTAAGCTGAGCCTGAAGACTTTTGAAAGCCGACAAATCCCAAATCCGGTCTAATCTAGTAACGTAGATTAGTATGTCAGTTATAGATTCCACATCTGGAATTCCTGATAAGGGTGGAATCACGGTTGTATTGCACGGAAAGCCAGCTAACCTAAGGCAAGGCAGGGGGACATGAGTGACACTAACTGAATGCTACTACCTGCTTCTCTAGCTGCGTAGAGAGTGTCCTCTGGCCCAGCTGATGGACAGTGAGACGGACATGGTGCGGCAGATCCGGGCTCTAGACAGCGACATGCAGACCCTGGTCTATGAGAACTACAACAAGTTCATCTCAGCTACAGGTGATCCCCTGGGACACACTCCTCAGAGCCTTACATCTCCCCCTGTGCTGGGAAAAACAGGGATTAAAGGAAGGCGAGCCAGATTATAATTCTGTCCCACATTAGTCCACTGTCACCTCTGTCCTGGTCTTTGTGGTCAGACTCTTCTGGAAGTGGCAGTTACTATGGGAGGGTTGTCCTAACGACCGAAGGGAGGGAGAAAGGATAAAATTATAGGAGTTTACCTGAAGCATGTAGGAAGCACTAAGAAGTTTCAGTAAGCTTTAGTTTTTGTCTTTATGTTTTTAGTTATTTATTTTGGGTGAGTGTGTGTGTTCGTGCATGTGTGTCTATCACAACATTTGTGTAGAGGTCAGAAGACAAGTTGTGGGAGTCAATGCTCCCCTTCCTCCACGTGGGTCCCATGGATTGAACTCAGGTCATCGGGCTTGGTGACGGGCACATTTGCCTGCTGCTAAGCCATCTCACAGGCAATTCAATTTGTTTTAATTTTATGAGCCGTAACTTTTGTTTCTGGTCAGTCTCCCTTGAGGGTGGACTTGTCACTCCCTCCCTTTCTTTCTCCGTTCTCATTCCTTAAGATTTAATAGTAGTGTCTAATTATGTGTATATGTGGGTGTGTACATGTGAGGACAGGTGTCCTTGGAGGCCAGAGACCAGAGGTGTCGGATTCCCTGGAGCTGACTGAGGTGGGTGCTTGGTACCGAACTCAGGCCCTCTAGAAGAGCAGTACCCGCTCTCCACCACTGAGCCGTCTCTCCAGCCCTAGGACCTGACAGTGCAGGTCTGTCACAGTACTTCCTGTCTTACTTTCAGGAGATACACCTGAGATTTGTGTGATAACTTTAAAGCACTTGTTCCGGAGGCAGACCGTGGAGAATGCTCACATCTGTGGGGTTGTGTCCCCATAAGTAGTCTTACTCTCCTGGTGTCACAATGCCCTCAGTGAGTAGGTGCTTGTCTGTTAATGCTAACCTCAAGATGAAAAGAGATAGTGATTTCTGTGCTGAGGAATTTTCCATAGGAATTTTGCTAGTATTTTCTCATTTGTTGGAATATGTATAATGTTTGACATTTATCTGTTGCTTAATAGAGATGGCTTGAGGTTTTTTTGTTTGTTTGTTTTTTACTTTTTTCTAAGGAAGGAAAAAATCATAAAGGAGGTGTGACTTCTCTGCACACCCACTAGTCTTGCCATTACTACATAAATAACATGTTGGTTGGGATGTGGAGGATACAGAACACTGATAAACTAGCAGTGGAAATACACAGCTATCCCCTCACTGCAGAAAAGCTTGGCCAGTCCTCAAAAAGCCAAACAGAATTATCACGAGACCAGTAATTCCACTCCTAGGAATGAATATGTTTGTATGTATATAAAAACGAGCAGAGCTTCTAATCCCTGCACTTTGGAGGCTGAGGCAGGGGGATTGCTGCAGATTCAAGGCTAGCTTAGCATCCATATCAAACCCCTGCCTAAAGAAACAAACAAACGGCTGGGCGGTGGTGGCGCACGCCTTTAATCCCAGCACTCGGGAGGCAGAGCCAGGTGGATCTCTGTGAGTTCGAGACCAGCCTGGGCTACCAAGTGAGTTCCAGGAGAGGCGCAAAGCTACACAGAGAAACCCTGTCTCAAAAAACCAAAAAAAAAAAAAAAAAAAAAAAAAGAAACAAACAAACAATAACAAAAGCCCAGGTGAGGGTGCTGGGAATGGCTCAGTGAGCCAAGTGCTTGTTCAAGCTTGAGGACCTGAGTGCTGTCTCAGCACTGTGTAAAATGAAAGCACGCCTTTAACCCCGCCACTTCTAGAGGCAGAGGCAGAAGATCTCTGTGACTTTGAGACCAGCATGGTCTACATAGTGAGTTCTGGACCAGCCAGGGCTACATAGTGAGACCTTGTCTCAAAGAGCAAACAAAAAGTGTGGCAGTGTACATCTGTAACCCCAGACTGTGTGGAGCAGGGTGTGTCCCTGGGGCTTGCTGGATGATCAGCCAGCTGAGCTGAAAGGGCAAGGCCTAGGTCAGTGAGAAACCCTGTCTCTAAGAATGATGCTAGAGATGGTGGGGAGGTGGCTCGGTAGTGAAGCATGCTGATTCTCTATCAAAGGTTCAGATCCCTGTCAGCTCACAGATGCTTGTACCTCTAGCTTACAGGAGTCTTTCTTTCTTTCTTTTTTTTTTTTGGTTTTTTGAGACAGGGTTTCTCTGTGTAGCTCTGCGCCTGTCCTGGAACTTGCTTTGGAGACCAGGCTGGCCTCGAACCCACAGAGATCCGCCTGCCTCTGCCTCCCGAGGGCTGGGATTAAAGGTGTGCGCCACCACCGCCTGGCCGAGATGCTTTTTCAAAACAGGAAAAAAAGAAATCAGATGAGAAAGGCTGTGTGTTGTATTGATTTTCTTATGTTACGTAAACAGAATAGGTAATTCTGTGAAAATAGGAAATAGATTGATGCCTACCAGAGGGTGTGGAAGATGTGGGGGAAACTGCCAAGAGAAACAGTAGCTCTTGGGTATTCATTAATTAGACAGTGGTACTGCCTTAGTTAGGGTTTTATGCTGTGAAGAGACACCATGACCACGGCAACTGTTATAAAGGAAAACAGTTTCAGAGGTTTAGTACATTATCATCATGGCGGGAAACATGGTAGCATGCAGGCAGACATGGTGCTGGAGACGGGGCTGAGGGTTCTTACATCCTGATCTGCAGGCAGCAGCAGGAGACTGTGTCACACGGGGTGTAGCTTGAACATATTAGACCTCAAAGCCCGTCCCCACAGTGATATACTTCCTCCAACAAGGTCAGACCTCCTAATAGTGCTACTCCCTATGGGCCAAGCATTCAAACACATGAGTCTGTGAGGGGCCATTCCTATTCAAACCACAAGTATTGACTTAAAACTCTGTGACTATGTTAAATGTATTCAAAGCACTGAATTTTATGGTATGCAATTCTTTCCCAGGTAAGAAATAAAAAACATACAAACAAAAAAGCAACTGGTTTAGGTTTTCTTAATCAGATTTTCATTCAGAAAATGATAGGTTTCATTATCTATCTTCATGCATTTATGTTATTATACTGTGTTTTAATTGGATTTGCCAACTTAGAGCCTAGGCATGGAGTTTGATTATGTGATAATGCATTTATCTTTTTTTTCTTCTTTTTTAGATAGG